CACACACACACACACACACACACACACACAAACACACAGATCAGTTCAGAATCACTGATCTACTGAACATGTGGTTTTGGAAGGGAGAAGGAACCTAGAACTGGAACATAGAGGTTGCATGGTGAAACTAAATAAACATACCACAGGGGTAACATAGTGACATAATCACATGTTCACATGATTATGTATAGGTACAGCATATTACCAACCTAGAACACTATATTAAGGGATTTTTGTATGTATTGTAATTGTTTATTATAACTAATCATATAGTAATTAAAATGTACCCTGCCTGAAAGCAGCGGTGACACTCAAATCTGACCCAGTCATAAAAAATATGTGTACATTTAAAATAAATAGGATATGTTCGAATTTCTTGTAAAAAAAAAAGTTCATATTTTTTTCTATTTATCAGATTTACACTACCAATAATACATAAACATCTTCCCATAAAGTCTCCACTTTGTTCCACAGCTTAAATATTTTAACTTCTTTAGAAGAAAGACTGACCATAAAAAACTGACTGCTGCTCTGGTCTCAAAGTGGGAAGGACTGGACAGATTTCTAACTATGAAAGAGGACACTTCATTACAGTCAGTTAGACATTCCTCACCTAGCTAGGAGGTAAAATCATCTCGACTCATCACATCAAAGCTGCGGTCTAAAAGCAGTGAATGAAGCTGCCAATAGACACTGGAAGAAGTTCTGATGGCCTTTCAGCAACAGTCTGCTCCAACTTCTGCTCCACTGAGTCACAGCTGTAGGACTGACCGTCTGCMACTGGAGGTTTCACTACTCATCCTTTCACGCTTGAAAGAGACCCCCCCCCCCACCTCCACCCCACATATCAACAACTCTGTACACAAAGTTAAAAAGTATTCAGCAGGTGAATCAGATTTTATTTTGGGGGTGTGGGGGGGGGGGGGTTCAAGACTTTTTGCTCGTTATCCAGGTGTTAAGCCCTCTTGTAAATAAATAATAGTAGTAGTAGCAGTAATTAGTAGTCGTATCATGGCTAGTCAGTGTTAATTTTTGTTTTGTGTGCACTATCTATAGTTTGTAAAGAAACTAGTGTGTGAACCTCTGTACGGATGCTGCTGTGACACCTGAATTTCCCCTCTGTGGGACAATAAAGGTCATTTCTATTCTATTCTATTCTATTCTATTCTATTCTATTCTATTCTATTCTATTCTATTCTA